GGTGTCTCCGAGCGAGAGCAGGGGCTGAGATTCGGTTTTACTTCCATCTCACCGTTCCCCCGTTTGCGTTAGTGAGCGCGAGCGGCTGAGGAGCCGCCTGCCGTGTGTCTCGAGGTGCTGGCGGGGGTAAGGTCTGCCTCAAAACGGACGCGGTTTAAGCGGTTGTTGCTCACCCCCGTGGTACGGCCCTTTCTTCCAGCCTCCCCTCGCTTCCTTCTCTTCCATCTGGCTTTCTCTCGGAAGCTTTCCGCTTTCTGACCCTTGCTGGTGTCTCTTCCTCGTACCGATTCCTTTCCAGAGGGCTCAGGAGAGCGGCGTGGCCTTGGGAGGAAGGCTCGGTGGAAACGTGCTGCTCTAACTGCTCGCTCTCTCCCCGTTCGGTTTCTTTAGGCCACCGCGGAACAGATTCGACTTGCACAGATGATTTCAGACCACAACGACGCTGACTTTGAGGAGAAGGTGAAACAAGTGAGTGTCTAAAGCGAGGGTGAAGCCCACCATGAAGGCAAGATCAATGTCGAGAGCACCATGAACGCTGGGAGTGGGTGGGGAGGACGCAGCGGCCTGCTCCCTGCGTTTCCTTGGACCAGCTTGTTCTCCGGAGTGCAGGGTTACCCTGAGCCAAAAGAGATTGTAGGTTGGGTTATGGTGAAACAATGGTGACTCCGAAATTTCCACCTTTGGTTACCCCTCGTTGAGGGGGCACAATTAAGCTGAGAAGTCTGGGGAGACTCCCAACCCTCAACACGTCTTCGTGGGACTTCTGGGTTGGGAATTGGCCTCTTAAGAGATCCAGAGAGATTTGGGTTCCTGTGTGGTTTGGACCGTGCTGACCGTGGTGTTCTCTTCCCTGCAGCTGATAGACATCACAGGCAAGAACCAGGACGAGTGTGTGATTGCTCTGCACGACTGCAACGGGGATGTTAACCGAGCCATCAACGTGCTGCTGGAGGGCAACCCCGACACGGTAGGGCTGGGTCCTGTGAATCTGCTGAGGCCTAGTTCAGTGTAACCACGTGTTTGGGGTCAAGACAGACAGTTGTCGTCCAGATCAGAAGAGCCAGAATAACTGACCAGTTCCACCAGTAGCGCGTTGAGTGGGATCGTATCTTGCCTTCTTCCTGCTGCTCTCTAGGCTTGCACAGAATATGCGTGTGGTCAGCAGGCCCAGAGAGCAAAAATACAAAAAAAATAGAGGGCAAAATGCAATCAGTCCTTTACTTCTTATTCCTTTTGAATCCAAGAACTCTGACAACAGTGCGTTGGCACCTGGAGAAGCGTTTGCGCTGCTCTGAGTGTGAAGCAACTCGTCTTTTCCCACAAGGGCTGAATGACCTGTGGTGAAGGGCTGCGTGTCAGCTGGGGCTCCTTCCCGTCAGAGTAACACGGTTTTGCGCCTCTGGCCCTAAACATCCGCCTCTTGGTGACAGGCCGGCTGGTTTGAGTGCTTCTGCTCGCACCACGTTTCTGAGGGTCTTTTTGCGGTTTGTTGGGCTCAACTGCTGTCGGTCACGCGGGTGCACGTCTCCAACAAGCCAGTCAGCTCAGAGAATGAGTGAGTGCTGCTTAGGAGGAGCCTGCTGCCCGGTGTGCAGGGTGTCGTTCTTTCCATGACAAAGAGAGCAGAGCTGTGGGTTCTTTTACAGCCCAGTAAAACCCTGTGAACTATCAGATCCTCCCAAACTGCCTCTAATCACGTGTATCCTCCCGACACCCTGGTTTGGCTGAGGTCGACTCAGCTCTTTGCAGAGTTGGGGCTCAGAATATCCCTTTGGAACTTTACGTGTTAGCTCTTTTTTTTCATTAGCCTTGAGCGTAGCTGGGTGAGCCGGACACCTCACTCTGTGTTCTGTGTGACGGAGTTGCTCCCACTGAGCGCTTTGCTGGCTGTGGCACTGGCCAAGTTAGGCACAGCGCGAGCAAACGTTCTTCCTTGGCTTTAGAGAACCCTTTTCAGCTGACACCTGAACAAAACAGCTGAGGCAAACCTGGGCTATGGCTGTGTTTTCCTCCAGATCCCTTGCAGCCATCGGCTTTGGTTTAATGACAACCCCTTGCTATTGCAGCAATCCCATCTCCTTGGTGCAGCCCGAGGAGTGTGGCCAGCAGGGCAGGAGAGGGGATTCTCCCGCTTTGCTCTGCTCTGATGAGACCACACCTCGAATCCTGCGTCCAGCTCTGGGGCACCAACACCAGAAGGATGTGGAGCTGTTGGGACGAGTCCAGAGGAGGGCCCACA